GTCTTAAATTACATTAAACTGTTTTCATACCTGAGGGCAAAAAAGGACTAAGCTTTTAGGAAAACAGTTATTTTTAGTTTTACTAAAAATTCCCAGTATCTCATGCTCAGGTCAAGCTGGCCAGTTTTCAATCACATAGATTTTTGGCTTTGTATTTTGTTAACTGAATTAATCAATTAAAAATATCACTTAAAAATAACTCACTTAAACATCACTTTGAAAATGAGTATTAAATGATAATGTATAAGTAACGATTACAGGAAACGTTTATATTCTAAAGGTAGGGAATAAAAGATGCTGGACAGCTTTACCTTTCTGGGGTGATAGAAGTAATAATGAAGTGGGTTTTTCCATCGTTGTAATTTCGGTCTGGTGATTGAATTTTGGTTCCACTTGCATTTAAAACCACAGCACCTCTGTCCATAGAGATGGATAATACATCTGACTGAAATACAGACAAAAATATCTTCATAAGTAACAGAAAAATTAGCAGTTCTGTGCATTTTCCTGTTGCATTTATTCTCCTTCCTGCTTTTTTCCCCATTTGTGCTTTATTTGCAGAAAGGTATACTGAGAAGCAAAACAGGAGATGATCTCATTAGAATTTATATTCTTGCTGTTTTTTAAGCCTGAATTCTGGGAATTCTGCTGCTGCTGCTGTCTCATGTATCTGTCACATGAGCTTCATACATCTAGCACAGTTGTATGATGTTTACATTTCATTTGCGTTTCTGGTGCGGCTGGTACTGTATAGAGCAGCTGCTATGGCAAGATTCCTGCTAGAACATTTTTTTCTTTTCCTAATTCCCTCTGATCAGACCTGTTCAATTACTAAAAATTATCTCAGAGAGATCTGCTGTCTGGGTCAGGTGTACGGGATCACCGTGCCACGTAGCAGGAGTATTGTCTGTTCCATTAGAGCAAGCACTGCCACTGTGCAGCGGTAGGAATCATCCTGTCTCATTCTGTCAAGTGCTAAATAGCTGAACCTCCATTTGTTAAGTAGGGCACTTCGCACCTTGCAGGATTAGAGCTTTTGCGTTAAAACCAGAAGTGGTGTGTGTAAGGCCTCATTTATGCAAACGATGTGGATAACTGACATGGTTACAGATTTCAATTTAAAGTAATACTCCAGGCTGTAAAATGTAAAAGTTCAGGAGTGGTTATTGGTGTCATACAGCCTTCCCTGCTGCACTGCTGATGATCTTCTGCAAGTATGTCAGAACAGACAATTTGGAGGTGGTTGCAAATGTTCTGTCATCTGAGCTTATGCTTGCTGCAGATGTCAGTCTGAGCCTGCGGGATTTTTTATCGCTCTGGCTCACACAACATTTTGGGAGTGCAAGTCCACATTTCTGCCCATGTCACACCTCTGAGGGGGCATTTAGAGCAGCCTGGCTTCCCATAGCTGCAAGGAGCCCTTCTCAAGTGCAGCTTTTCCCACTCGTACATGGAGGTCTAAGTACCATCTGGGAATATAGGCAGCTTTCCGAGTGATTTCTGTCAACTCAGCAATGCTTAGAATACCACCCCACTAATCCAAACAAACGGTGTCTTTGCTTCTAGGGGATTGTCTCTGGGTGGAAAATGTCAGGCCCTTAATATTGTTTGTGCTTTGGGTAGCAGCTACAGGTCCAAATAAGGATGGCAGTGCTGCTGAGCACAGTGAGATCCACTGTGCATTTCTGCCCTAAGGACTTTATTGAGCACAAATGGATGCATGTTAACTCTAGGCATATGATCAAATCCTCTTCTCAACATCAAAATAATGTCTAAGCATTGCTGGTTTTCATCTGTAGATCAAATGCAAACTGTGAAAATGAGGTCATCATATTGCAGACTGCTTGCTTTATTATGAAAGCATGAGTTGAGAAATTGTATTATTCCCCTAGTATTCTCCTGGGAAACAATGCAAGGCTAAAATTAAACAAATTGTAAAGTAATATATACTCACTCCTTCAGAATAGTAGAACAGCAGCCCATTGGGCTGCAATGTCCGGAAATTAAAGCCGCCTTCAAACTCACTAAAGAGGGACACTTTTTGGCTTGATGCAATGAAGCTCTCTCCATTGAAATACGCTTTGCGGGACATCTGTGTATTAAACAAAACAAAATTACAAGTTAACTGCAGAAAAAATTCAAATTATAAACAGAATGAGGCTATTTATTTTTTTTTAAAGATACAGCCAGTTCAGTTCTATAAAAACTTCAGTTGTTACTGCATGTCTTTACCTAATTTATGTAGGCTTTCGCTCGCATGCTGTGAAAAATCTTAAGAAAGTGTAGCCATTTTTAGACAGTGTAAGCCAAATTGTTCTCAGTTTCCTGGGATTCTTGGCCTCATCCTAAGTCTGCTGATGCTAGTGAGCATGAAGACTAGAAGCAGAGAGGGCTCAAACTCCTGTCAGAGCTGTGTGGCACTGAGTGACCATCCCAACATGCGATACAGGAGTTGGTGTGCTGCACTGAGTGCTGGTGTGGGGGACTGGCCATGGCAGCCTATAACCCTCTGAGTTTAAGAAGGAAAGGGGTCCAAGGTAGGACAAATTGCAGCTAGCTTCCTTGTAGACAGAGGGTGAGACTGTATGATGAGTTCTAGAAGTGGTGGGCTCCTTCATCTTCACAGGTTTGCAGCACGGCTGCAAGCGCTCTTTAGATTTACCAGCCTTGCACTGCAATGAACAAATGATGAATAATGGAAGGGATTAGAAACCAAATGGCAATTTTTTCAGTGTTAATGCTGGTGCAATTGGTTTTTGTATCACAGAGCTAGAGCTGGCCTGACATAAGGGGTGAACTCATTTGAAGGGTGAATATCTTGTCATCTTTTTCATTTCATAGATTTTTATTAAGATGCATGTGAGGACAATTCTCCTTGTTCTTTATGAAAGAATGAATTATGAAGGAACAAATATTTCCTTTCATAATACATCACACAATTTATTTAAGATCCAGCTTTCACATTGCAGTCTTACAATAACAATATCAAGTAAAATACCTTGTACTGTAACTCGGGCAGTGTGTCAGCAGACTTAACACACACACACAGAGCACCCTCACCAGTCAATGAATGCATTGTAAGTTCCTTAGTTCAAGACTTTCTTTCCATTTTCTGGAGTAAAACTCAAGCTCATAGCTGTATCCATTGACAAAATGTTGTTATCTCACAAATGATGTTATGCTTACCAGTGAATCCTCTGGGCACCCATAGCTGATTCCCAGGGTTCCTGGTTCTTCTAGCAAGTTGAAATCCTTCTTTTGGAACTGGAAGCCCTTCATGCAGCCTTTAAAGCCAATACTTCCTGCCAGATGTGAACTAATGCTGTTGGAAAACAGTGTCAAACAATCTGCAGTTAGATAGCCCTTGCCTTTCTGAACGGACTTTTATCGCAAAAGTATTCTAAAAAACTTGGAAGAGCCTCAATCATTTGCCTCACTAGTGCCCAATTCCTGCATCTTTATGTAAAACAATTAAACCACATTACATGTTTTGAAAAGTCAAGATGCATCAGATGTAATAAATGTTATGGGAGGAAATAGATGAGAGTTCAGAGAGGAGATCCATATAGAGTAATTAAATAGACAAAAATAGCTGCTGAAATAAAAAGTCTTGTTTTTAAATGGATTTCTACCCCATTACAGTGGAAATCAATGGATTTCTATCTCCATTTTTTAATCATTTTAGAAAAGTTCTGTTTTAGTTTTCCTGTTTTGCTCTTACGAACAAGCTCCATTCTTGTCTTGAGAAGCAGATGGGTCTCTATTTCTTAACAAATAATAGTAACAAAGATCAGGGAAGTAAGAGTAAATTCTGATTGCTGATGAGTGGGTTTACATAGTTGTAAATGAGAGCAGCAGGTGGGCTTCCAGGATCCTTATTATGTGAGATTTGAGGTGGATAGCACAGCAATGTATTCTGACTGCTTCTGCTCACTGCTCTGAGTTTTTCAACTCTGCCTCTCACCAAGATATCACAGCATTAAGGCATAGGACAAATATAATTGAATTTATCCTCATGCTGCATGAAGCAGAAGAAATTTGCCTAAAATCACAGAGGGTCTGTGACAGGTCAAGGAAATGACATGGGATCTATTGGGTACCAGTTCAGAAGATAATTAGAGAACAAATATACTGAAGGAGTGAATGTGAAAGCTGGAGTTTTGACCTGGCTACCTGTAAACAGTCTTGGTGCTTTCTACAGGATGGACCTTAGCAGTGGGATTCTTCTCACTTCACATGAGATGATACTGACAGTGTTGACATCTGCTTCTGTGCTAGTTGTCTATGAGTTATCTCATTGTAAAGGAGACATTGGAAATATGACAAATGAATTAGTCTCTGAAAACATTTTTCTACATTGGCAAAAATGCACCATCAGGTGAAGTAGCACAGATGTACATGTCTGAAATAAGGTGAGAGGAGGAGCACTGCAGGGCCTTAATCTTCTCACAGCAAAATCAGCAGG